ATTTTGCTTCTTTGTTTGATTGAGGAAGATTTTCAACAGACCGGTGATAACAATGCTTTGTCACAGCTGTGCTAAAGTATGAAATATGGTTTCATACCTGTGAGGTATTCTGGGTCGGGCACAGGGTCTGACAGCTCCTCGTGGCATTGAGCCTCTGTTGGCACCGATGCCACCACCATGCCATCTGGGAGCTGCTGTTCGATGCCTCGGGCAAAGTTCTTCTGCCTGGTGTAAAGAGAGATAATATAGAGAGCTCCAATTAAGAGACGCCAGTGCTCAGTTGTTCAGCACGGGATGAAAAAGGGAAGAAAGGGAAGAAGGACAAAGAATGATGTGAATGAGGTAACGGCAGCTGTCATTGTCACATTTTGTAGTATTTAATGTATAAAAAAGGCAGTGAGTGAATCAGTTGGGAAAAGTCACGTTATCACAGGTGTTTTGTTCCAAATGTTCTGCTCTACCACCATTTTAACACACTGGACTAAACAAAGTATTGGGACACGCATCGAAGCTCTAATTTTAAAGTGTGCAGCTCCATAATCATTCAAGCCAAACTTCATCCTTTCAGTATTTATTTGGCCATGATGGACCAAACATTTGCATTTATCATTTGGATTAATGTGTGTTAGTGAGAGTGTGAAAGCACACCTCAAACTAGGCAGATACAATCTCAGTCCTAAACTTAGTGAAAGTTGCTGATGGCCTTAACTGACTGATTATGGTGACTGTGTATGAATGCCATATTGTTACTCAATAACACACTTAAGAGTGAGTTTTTGTGTTCTCACTATTAATATTATATCAAATTGGGGCGGTAATCTTTTTTCACTGCAGTAACACTTTTATCCTCGTGAAATATTTTCTTTACTCTGTTAATCGGGTGCTGTGAACACTAAGTCACTAATTACCCGTCTGAAGTTTGATGATGATGATTAAACTACTATTGCCAGAGGGTTTGCAGTTGCATGTGATGACTAATTAACATTATATAAGCTATAAATAGCCATAGAGGTGCTTAGCGGTTTTGTTTAAGACTTCTGTGCGTTTGATGTGGAGCCATTGTGATGACTCGTGATGTTATTTGGTGCACTTTTTATTGACAGGTTTACAACGATAGCAAAGACGGCTGGTCTGTTAATAGGAAATAGTCGATGATAGACGTGTGTATGCTCACGCAGTTCCACTGCAATTTGAGATTTATACAACTTAGAGTGCACGCACGTTGTGCGATAGTAGCAAAAGTTCATCAAACACTGTGTAAAGTTTGATGCATGCAGCCCAGGGATGGCAGACTCATTGCACATCATGCGCCACACACAGGTCACATTGATCTTAAGTGGGGTGGACAGTTTTTCAGGGTTTGTTTTTATAAAGTAATGCTCCAATAGTAAATGAAAGAAATCTGTCAGCACGACTTGTGGACTCTTTGAGAGAAATAAAAAGTTCTGGTAGCTGATTGCCTCAGACTTTCCTGTAATTATAAAACAGAAAGCTTCTGTTAATTCACAGAAAATGCCCTTTGTTATGTGGATTGTAAATAACAGAAATCTGCATAGTGAAAACACATTTGGTGTAATATGAATGGCCAAGGAGGAGCTCTTTATCAGCAGGAAAAGCTGCAAAACATATTAACACATTTTAAAAATGTATTCCCTCTTTCCCATTTCCCAAAACCATCCAGTGGGCTTTGGAAAGACTGGAATCTTTGTCCATTCTGACCCCCGGGACTTATGTTTGACTGCTTTTGTCATGGCGAATGCTGTGGCAGGCAAGATGAAGGACCCAAAATGCAGGAATCAGAAACAGGAAGTAACTTAGGCGCAGCTTTATTGATGGAAAATCTTAAAAGAATAACCGTTATAAAAACAAACAAAATCTCAAATGCAGAACTAGAACTAGACTGGGAACCTAGAAACTAAGAAAACTCATACTAGGAAAAACCATCCGGGACACAACAAGAGAACACAGCAAAATGAGAGTACGATGCAATAACAAGGAGGGCATGACAGAGGACTAAAACACACGGAGGAATAATAAGGA